CAAATAGAATATTTGTATGATAACGAAACTCGATTTTTGCTATGCAATTAGCAATTACTCACCGTTTTGAAGAGATACTGGCGATCTGCGGCTGTAGCGTTGGCGGACGATTTCTTCATATTCGCCGTATGCAGCAACACCGACTCCAATTGGCTAGCATTGATTGGCGTTTGCAGCAGAATGGTATTGGTTGTATTGCCAGTTGCAGTGCCACCGCCGCTGCTGCTGCTACTCCCGGCAACCGAAGCCACTGCACCAGTGCCACCACCGCCACCAGCAACACTTTCTTTAGTGGCAACATATACCGTGCTTTTGCTTGTTGGTGTTGTTGTTGTTGCATGTGTTGTTGCTTGTATTGATTTGCGTGCAACAGTCGTGGTTGTGGGCAATTGTGTCAATGTTGCAGCAACGTTTGTTTTATCAATTTTCTGTTGTTGCTTATGCTGCTGATGTTCCAACTGCTGTTGCGGCTGTTGCGGCTGTTGCGGCTGTTGTTGTTGTGGTGGTGGTTGCTGCTCATTATAAATACTAATAATGCCATGCTTATTCTGTATGACAATCTGTCCGTTCTCGTTCCGTGAGCCGCGCAACAATATTATGTTGTTGGTTAACTGCTGCGCCAGTGATTGCTTTTGCGTCGTCTGCAGTTGAAGCTGTTGTTGTTGCTGTTGCTGCTGTTGGTGTTGTTGTTGCAACAGCTGTTGTTGTTGTTGCTGCTGTTGCTGCATTGATGTGGAAGTGTTGTGAGTCGTTGTTTTTGTTGTTGTTTTGGTTGTTGTTTTGGTTGTTGTTGTTTCTTATGTTGTAGTTGTTTTTGTTGTTGTAGCTGTGGTAGTTGGCTTTGTTGTCTTCTCGCTAGCAACATTGTTGTTGCTTGATTCGCCGTTTGCACTAGACGCTGCAAAAAAAAAACAAGATGAAAAACAAAATGTTACTCATACGCCATGTAGGAAGAGATTGTTTATTTCTATTTAATGTTACGCATACGCCCTGTGCTACTGAGTTCGAATGAAGGTTCATTTGGCTTATAGCATGGACAGACGGCAACGTTAAACCGGATTAACGGCGCAGTTGATCTGATCAAAATTCTACCCTGACAGGCGGCAGTATTGCGGATTAAGCGAGCCGCGAAGTCATGAGTTCGAAACCCACGGCCAGCAAAACTTTAAAAATTTTGTTTAGATTATTCAATTCTTACTTTTATTTTTTTTTTTAATGTAGTTATAGTTGCTGTGGTCTTTAAACTCTAAAAAAATAAATTAACTTGCATTTTTTATGTAAAATAACTTTAATTCAAATGAGTTCTTATTTAATTTCAATTGGATTCCTACCTGAATTTGTATGGTGTCCAAGCTAGATTTGCATGTTCTGTGTTATCTACGTTCTCTGAGTTTTGGTCAGTGTTGTCACTGAAAATGCCATTGATCCGTACTAAGTTAGGGAATTTAGTGTAGCGCTTAGTCTGGATCAATTCCCGAGATAATTCCGAATTATCGAGTTTTCGCGGATAAACGCTGCTATCTGTCTATGCTTTTACCGCTGTTAAAAAGCGATGAAATGCGGAAGACCGGATTTTCTCATTTTTTTAGCCGTTCAGGCTTTTGCAGGATTCTCCGTATTTTCGAGATATTTTTTCTGGATGCTTCGGTGATTTTTTAATTTGTTGGCAACTTATCTGGTGTCTCTGTGTTTTTTGGGACTTTTCGTGATGTTTTTAGATATGTAAATTGAGAACTTTCAGTTTATTTTGTTGGCAATCTTCGAGGTTGGAGTTCGTTCATACAAAAATCACGTGATTTTTTTTTTACTCTGAAATTAAAACCACTCCAAAAAAAGGTATCTGGATTGTGGAAATTTTTTTTTAATTTATGGAGGATTTTATTCTTTTGAAGGAAAAATATATTGGCGCTTACACATATGTTAGTTTTTGGCCGAGCTTCTCCTCCGTTTTGTGGCGTGCGCCTTGATGTTGTCACACAAATGGGTGGGGGACCTACGATTTTATGCCGACTCCCAACGGCGATTGTATTTTAATGAGAAGCTGTTTTTCATGGCAGAAATACACTCAGAGGTTTGCCATTGGCTGCCGGGGGGCGATCGCTATTAGAAAAAACTTTTTTTTTTTTCAATGGAGTTATTTGAGCTTTGTGCCGCTATTAGTTTGTTAGGAAAAATGGGGAAAACACCGAAGTCTTGGCGATAGAAGATTTTTTATTTTTCGATGTTGGGTTGAGCAGGGCTTGACCCCAGGCGCCGCAGCAGCCGCCATATACATATGTATATTAATCCATATACATAGGTTTCTCTAAAGATTTTGTGGATTTTTATAAATAGATACTTATAAAGCGGTTTCACATATTCTAAATTAGTTACAAATTAAATAAAACATCATAATATGGGTTTCAAGTGAACATATTTTCGGAAAATCCCCAGTTCAGAAATATTTTTGGTAAGGTTTCCACTTATTTTGAATCGTAAATTTATTTCATTTTTTGCTTAGAAAATAAAGTTACAATATTACTATTCATGGCTACTAAAAAAAGAACCTTAAACAAAACTTTATTTATATAATAAATGTTATCCCTTAGGATGCTAGTGTAAAGTTGCCACTTATTTTCGATTATACAAAATTTAACTGAAATAATGCAATATGGATACCAAATAAGAAATTTAATCCAAAAATATTCTAGATAAAGGTTGCCAGGTTTTTTGGTTGTAATACAAATTTTAATATCTGATGAATTTCAAAAAGCCTTTCTTTGTAAGATATGTACTCTTCATCCTAGCCTATTTTTAAATAATGCAATTTTTTAATGCAATTTATTAGATATCAAAAGCTAAATTGTTTTTAATTTATCTCAAAATATTCTTTTTGTAGAATTCTGCGGCTTCATATAGGCTAAAATTTTGGCAATATTTTTTGTTTATCAACATAACTTTTTTTTAGTTTTCTATTTTTATTTTATTTCGCTGATTGCTGAGGTATTTATTAGGCTCAAATATCAAGCGAAAATATACATAAATATGTGTATATTACACAGTAGTTCTAAATAATAAATTCCATTAACAGTTATTACATAAAAAAAAAAAATTATAAATTAAAACTCTCCAAGCGACAATTATTTTATACCCAAACCTTGGAAACTTTAAAAAGTATATACATTTCGAGCAAAGTTCCGTCAAACCTGGTACTAATTATTGAATTGACAAAATTTCCGAAAACAAAAGAAGAACGGTTAGAAGATAAAGTTGAAAAGTTGATATATCTTAGTGCTTTTTTAAATATGCAGTTGAAACTAGTGGAGAAGCGCTGAAAAAACTAAAAGGTGCTGATGTAATAAATAAAAAGGCCTATGAATAGCTATAAATAGATTCAACTGGTCAGATAAACAGGAAATAAAACGTATTCTGTCGTCGTTCAAAAACTTGATGATGCTACTGAACTGAAAAAGCTAGAGAAGAAGGCGACAAATAGGCTATTGGTGTTATCGCTGAAATCACAAATAAAGCCTAAGATAAGCCACCGTGAAATCGTTACACATTTACCATCAGTCTTAACCGCACGCGCTTCAAACGAAGGTAAATAAAGCCTTTGTTCTACTGGTTCAATGAGTGATACAAATTTTAATATGCGCAACTCTTCCATCTTATTATTGTAGTACACTGACTCTACTCGTTTTTTCGATTGTTTGTCGTTTCGTGAATAAATCTCTCGACATTATTTCCTGCCAGGGATAATATATTAAGACAAATCACCTGCTCTAAAACCTGCCTCATAAGAATCATCTAAAATCTGTGTTCTGTTTACTGCTTCATCAAAACAAATATCATGGAAATTTTCTTTAAGCAGAACAAATATTAGCTGGTGCTCCATGCAATATCTTAGATAAAATTTTTTGGTATAAAACCTTTTTTCTTAATTAAGAAATGATTCAAATATTTGTTTGTTTCTTCCGTAAAACAAAAATTATGAAACTCTTTTAAACTATTGACTACTGCAGTCAACATACCACATAAATCAGGCGGTGTAAAACTGTCTTATGGAAATCATTTAAAACTTTTGGGTTTTTCTCTTTTCTCATTGAAGCAAGTACAATGTAATCCTTTTAAATTAAAAGAAGCATGCATTCCTGCTCCACATAACGTATTTAGATGATAAGTTACTTGGCGTAAAATCTGCCTTATAGAAATCATCTAGAAGTCCTGTTCTGTTTCCTTTGTCACTAAAACAAACACTATGCAACTTTTCCTTTTCCTTTTTCTTTTTTTTAAATATTGTGTTTTATTTACTTGCTCATTGAACCAAATATCATATCGGCCTTTAAAAGCTTTTGCATGTACGAGTACGCCATGTACGGTAGGGTCATAGAAGAAAATATTAGACATTTTTATTTAATTTTTATGATTTTTTTGCAAAAGAACTAAAGTTTGACAAAAAATCTGTTATATTTTTATTTAATTTTTTCCCTGTTAAAATGTGATTTTTTTATAAAAATGAAAATAATTATGTTGGGAAAATGATCTGATCTAAGTAGGAAAACGATATACAGATCCGTAATGCACGGCCCAATCTAAAAACATAGATCAGCGCTAGTGCTATGAAGAAATTTCAGTACCTGCAGGCAAAATTCTTGCAGGCTGGGATTAAGGACTCCCCCCCCCCTTTCCTCGCTTTCAAATGTGCTATTGGCAAATCCGAAGTTAAGCGCCCAAGCTATATAGGTGAATCATTGTGGATATTTGGGGATGCAATTGCTTTAATGAGCATACAATCATTTTTATCTTTTCCGATGATACAGCTGTAATTACACCTCTATTCGCTGCATTAACTGCAGATTTAAGGGCAAATGTAGATAAACGTGGATGGAGTTGGAATAAAACATCAGATATTAGAGATTTTACGGTTTGCAAAAGAGAATTGTCCATCAGAAAATCTGGCAAGTTTTAATGTTTGCGTGGTTAGGGACTTTAAGGAATATTTCCTATAATAAGAAATATATATATTTTCTTTTTTTTTTTTGTAAGTGTTTCTAGTATCACCGTACCGAATTAGCATCACCTGATCTTAGTGGTTTGTCTAGTCATAGTAAGTAAAGGTGTTTTATGCATTATAATGGGGAAAATATAGGGTTAGTTAGAAGTTTGTTAAATCGAGTTTGCAGAAAGGTTAGAGTGTTTTTTGAATCAATGCCCATCTTTTTGCACTCCGTTAGAAAATATCGATTTTTTCCAGCATTCTGATTTCGTATTTTTGCTACTGCGTTTGATTCTGATATTGCAAATGAAATCTCAAAAAATAAATCTCAAGTTTTGAAATGACACAAAAAAACGCCGTAATACGTAAACTTAATATTGAGTCGTAGATTATGTATACCATGTTTCCAGATCAGATCATGTCACCAAGATATTTTTGATGAAAAAAATCAAGCTTTAGCAAAGAAGAAAATAGAAAAATAAATCTTTTGTATATTTTTTTTTTATTTGCATTAAAGTCCATTTTTTTTTTTTTTTAATCAAGCTATTAACAACGAAAATCGAAACATATGTAAACACCGTTTTAATGGACAATTTAAAATGTGAAATAATTTTTTGTATTAAATAGGAGCAGGAAATAATGTCGTACCACCCGTCCTACATAGTGTATTAGTAATATTTTCGATGTTAAAGGTCAGTATGCAGGTCTCATGAAAACGGTCAAGAAAAAAATTGCCATTAATTCGTGTGTATGTCCACGAAATTTTGGCATCCGATACCTCAAGAAATAATGGAACTGGCATATATTTCTGTTGCAAAGTTGGGTTGCCTTCTGCATTTTTTTCACAAAAAACTTTAGAAAACCGTAGTTGAAAGCTTAGCAAATTTCTTAAGAACTGCGTACTGCCTTAAGGAAATTTGACACAACATTTGACATTTCTTGTACATGATTTTATATGGAGTTTTTGCTTTTCTTGAGAGCTGCATACTGGCCTTAAAGTTGTAATTTTATTTTCATTCGCAATGCAAACTTAAAATGAAAATATCTTGAAAATTAAAATTACCTGATCTAGAAAGAGAGTATACAGATATGTAATTCAAAATTAAGTTTACGTATTTTGTGTCAATTTAGCGTCCCTACAGTATAATTTCGTTTTGATAACGATCCATACTTCCATAACATTATTTGATCTAGGAAATAATCGATGAGTTGCGGTTCGTTATCTTGAGGGCAATAAAAAACGGGTCATAAGATTAGGAAATATTGCAGAGAATAAGGGTTCGTTGTCCAGATATCCCAGAAGGTACACAGGTACATGATGATCTGCTTATAGACCAGAATTTGCAACAACTGATCAATTTTGTAGGTGGGTACTGGCTTCAACAGCATGATATACATAGTTGATATAGCAAGATCATCATGGTATGAAAATATGTCCCGCACCAACAGCGTGGAGGTGGGGGGGGCTCTACAATTAGGCGGCGAAATAGTGATATCAATTGATTTTGGCCCGCAATTAGCATTGGATCAAACTAACGGAGTGAGTAGAGTTTGTAAGTGGTAGTTAGAGGATAAAGTTTTCTTTACTCCATATTTACGCATTTTATGAGTAGAGTTTTTTTTCAAAATAATATAGAAGGTTAGTTAAGACTCGCTCAGCTAGTTTTAGATACTGAGGCTGTGTGCTGTTTAAAATGATTCCCTTAATTTTAGGTAACAAATAATTTAAACAAAAAAGATAAAATTCAATCCGAAGAAAAATTTATATGGTTAAAACTGAACCTTTTTTATAAAAAGAATAATATACAGCCCGCAACAAAAGATAGCACATCAACATTTTTACCAGTTTTGACC